CCGCTGAGTAAGACATCCTCATACTTTCGTCATAGACCTTTAAATACATACCTTTCTTCACATTTGATTTTGTGCCCCCTTCCCCTTCCCCCTCCCACCACCCACACATATATATCTCTCTTTTCCATACCATCCATTTTTTGCATGCTCTCATTCCATGCCTCCCCCCCCCCTCCTTCTTCCACTTATAAAAACTCTTTCTAAGAAGATCACGTTTTTCCTCGACAATAGATGATGGTCGATTTACTTACAATTTATACAATATCTCACTGTATCTGATATTTAAAATTATATGTGTCATGACGCAGTGGAATCATGCGCTCGTCACGTTTTGGGCATATTCTAGAGTTATTAACAATAGCATCTTGAAGCTCGTTTATGCGTCTTACAATTGGTTTTAAAAAAATATAAAAAATACCCATCTATCTTGAATAGAAGTCGAGATATTTGAGATTGAAGAAGTGGTGGTCGCCTGGTGTGAGAGGCAAAACTAACGAGAAAATGGCAGCCAAAGTCTGGTGATTTCCAATGCCCGAGTGCCCTTGGAAACTGGGCATTTACATTTGCTGTGCCTTCAATCCACGTTTTTCTGTAATATCCATGAATAAAATTATGTGTTTTTAAAAGGACATAAAATGTATTGAGCCAAAAAAGAGAAAATCCGATCCGAAAAAAAAAAATTGCCCAAAGCCCAGAAAAAAAATGCCGGTTGCTTCTTCGATTTTATCGTTTTGAAGACGAGCGCCTGGTTTCACCACGCTGACTCACATAATAATAACAATAATAATATTAATAATAATAATAATAATAATATCTTCCCCCCTGGACACCACCAACTGGACCTCCTTCTGTTCTGTCTTACCTGGACTCTGGTCAGCAGACGATACTCGGACTTGTCCTTGAGCGCGCTGACCAGCGCCCCAGCAGTGACCACTGGGATCCCCCAGCTGAAAGAAAAGCGCGCGATGGGAGCCACGGCGTAGGCGCATGCGGGCCCCAGAAACACGTGTGCTGATTGGTTGAGATACATGTCAATGGCGGCCAGCGGGCCAATCGTCTCCGAGCAATTCGAATCCGCGGAATTTAATTGGATGGTGTATCCCCTCAGCATGTCCGTCTGGTTCTGAATGGACTCCACCGCCATTTTGATCGCGGGGAAGGTCCTATGGATGACCCACGGTTGCGGCCCTTGAAAAGGGAGCAGAACTCCTATCCTTATCTCGTCGGTCGGGGTGTGGGGTAATCGATACTTGTTCACGCACGTTGGAGTAGTCGAGTAGTCGTCGCCAGAGTGCGGAGTGGTCGATACCAGGGCAAAGGTCAAAGGCCACAGCGACGGAAGCGTCCAAAGGAAAAGGAGAGTTGTCTTTCCTGCGTCATTCATGACTGCCGTTTACAGGGGGAAACTAGAGGTGGGTAAAATCCGGATAATCTATAAGGATAACCGGATAATTCTCAATGAAACATTATCCGAATTCAGACTCTTTAACTCTCTTTCCTGACCCGTTTGCCGAAGTGGGTGCACCCATTTGTTGAAGTAGTGCTAACTGAGCCGTTTGTCGATGTGGTTCTAACCCATTTGCCGAAGCGGTTGATGTCATATTATTTACCCAAGAGGTGCACTAGCATATTATTCGGATTTTGCCAAAGCGACTCATTGCCCAGAGGGTACTCAGTCGACGTCCGGTCCCCTTTTGGCTTTTGTGTCGCTCTCTCTCTCTCTCTCTCTCTCTCTCTCTCTCTCTCTCTCTCTCTCTCTCTCTCTCTCTCTCTCTCTCTCTCTCTCTCTCTCTCTCTCT